AATATACTAAAAGTTAGACCCAATAATAKTATTAAATTTAAAAATTAAATAAATAAAACATAGCAATGTTTTATAAATTATACCGACATGCAAAGGATGATGAAGTTTGTCACTCCATCGTGCTTGAATCATTGACCACACTTTAGTGATCAGTCTTTCGTGAACGGTGCCAGTCAAGTTCTTCTTAATTTGATCTTTAGCTCTCTCCATAGCATSGTATATATAGCCCATACACGGCTTCTCCTCCGTATCAACCAACCGAACAACATCAACCAACGGTGCCAATAGCTGACAAGCAAGATAAATATTGTCCCAAAACTCTTGCCTAGCTATTATCCGTTCAATTCTTTTTCCGATGGGTTTCTTGGCAAAGTCACTCTTCCTCCATTGTTCAGAAACAAATAGAACTTGGAGATGATGCCGATTCTCATGGATGCTCTAAATGGTGTAGAATTGTGTTGCGAACCTTGTAACACATGACCGATGCAGTTCTCTATTTTTAGTAAGCATTCGCATCATATTCAAAATCCTTCYGTGGTTATAAATATAAACCACTACCGCTCTCGCATCAACTAACACACTTTTAATCTTCGGAATTTTCTCTCCGACATCGCCTATCATAAGATTCACGCAATGTGCTGCGCATGGTGTCCAAAACATCTGAGGATGTTGTTCTTCCAAGATTTTTCCAGCAGCTTTAAAGTTGGACCCATTATCGGTGACAAACTAGTATAAGTAAAAAACAATTAGTCACTACTTCAATATATGTGTGTGTAGAATAATGTTAATACTTCAATAGAATATTTATTTGTTACTTGCACGATGTTCTCCTCTCCGACATCCTCTATAACCTCATTGATCATCTGTACAATTAATTGTGCATCTTTCACATGCTCCGATGCATCAATTGATTTCAAAAAAATTGTCCCTTGTGGACAATTGACCAAAAAATTRATCAAGCTTCTCCCTTTCCCGTCTGTCCAAAAATCGGACATAATAGTGCATTTACTCTTCTTCCAGTGTGAACGAAAGGAGTCTACAAACTTGTTGGTGTCCTCAAGTACATCTTTCAACAATGTGACCCGAATGTTATGATAACTTGGAGCCGGCATGCCTAACAACGATGGGAATAAAGTTAGTACTTACTATTARATAGTTAACMTTTGAGAAATATATTAGAAATTGGAAGTGGTAATTACCCTTTCCATACTCTCCAACAGCATTTATGAACTTTTGAAAGTTCTCATCTTTCACGGCATTAAAYGGCAACCCAACCGAATATGCCCAAACCGCAAACTCTTTCCAAGCGGCCAACTTTAACTTCTCTTTGATTGGATTGTTTCTATCTAAAGTGGCTTGCTTTATCTTGRCATAATCGGGCTTCAACATCGCATCAAGAGGCCCGCGAACATCACTAGCGGRCTTTCTTTTTAAACCACGAGGCTGTGTTGAGGCTTGTGCTCGTGCTCTTCCTCCTTCGATAATTTCTATTCCATCTACGTCTTGCTCATCCTCATCAATATCATCAATATCATCAACTTCAACCGAATATTGTCGAAGGATTTCTACATTTCTATTTCGTTCTTTCTTTTTCTTATTCTTTTCACTAATGGATGCTAGAACTCTTTTTTTGATGTCGTTACTCGCATTAGGACAACCAATGACGTTACCTCCGATGTGAGTAAGGTGTTCTTTCAACCTAGTGATCCCCCCACTCATTTTTTTATCACATAAGGTACACCATACATAATTTTTTTTGGTTGGATCTTTCCAT